GTGGCGTGAGCTGGGCCTGCCCACAGTTCCCGGGGGGCTGTCCGCATCCTGCAGACTTTGGGGGAGTCTTCATATCAAGTCCTTCGCTCCTTACACAGAAGCTGTCACGTGGCTTATGGGATCAGCCCAGTCCCCAGTGAGCTAAAATCCAACCAGAGCCTAAGGGCCGGATTGCATTAAAAATGCGAGCAAATCCCTTTCTCCAGGCTCCATCTCCCTCACCCGCTCCCACCACCACCATCCTGCCCCAACACGCCGCAGCCCCAGGGACTGCACTTAGAAAACCTGAATTCACATGCCGACATGCACCAGCTCACGTTGACTTTGGCAAGCCCCTGACACCTCTGTGATTTCTTCATGGAGGAAGTCAAGGGCAGCATTGCCTGAGCACCTATTGGATACCTAGTACTGTGCTTAGTGTTTGTCAGTGTTCTTTCATTTTCCCTGCTAGAGCATGGGCTCCCCAAGGGCCAGGAGTCTGGTTTCCGGAACAGCACTGTCTCCCCAGCACCTAGACCTGGGCACACAGCAGACAACCAAGGAATGCCCACCAATGACAGGAGGCCTCACTCACCTCACACCGGCGTGTGGGGTAGGAATGATTGCAATCCCCTCTAACTAATGGAAAAGCTAAGACTCAGAGAGGGTGAGTGTCTTTACCAAGGTCACACAGCTAGTAGGTGGGTGAGCTAGGACCCGCGGCCCCGACTGCAAGCCTTTCAGATCTGTCATCTTAGCCACTCTTCCCTGCTGCTACTGCCTCCCAGGTTTGCTAGAGGATCACACGCTAAGCAACCCACATACAGAGCTGTTCACCCTCTGAGCATCAAACGCCCATGGGGTACAAGGTACTAGAGACCTAGAACTAGAAAGACGCACCTGTTTTGCTAGTCTGTGGCTCTTCCAGGGTAGAGATGGAGCACCAACCCTGGTGAAGAGCGTTGACTTGCAGCCTTACCAGAATTTGCCTGTGTATGAGTTTCTTCCTGCCACTGTAACAAGTGACCACGGCTTAGCTTAAAGCAACACACATTTCTTCTCTTATGGTTGTGGAAGCTGGAAGTCTGGACTGAGGTCTCATTGGGCTAAAATTGTGTTGGCAGGCTGTGTTCCTTCCGAGGCCCTAAGGGAGAATCCGTTTCCTTGTCCTTTCCAGCTTCTAGAGTTTGCTTGCATGCTTGGCTCATGGCCCCTCCTCTGTCTCCAAACCCAGCAAGCTCATCACTCCAATCTCTGCTCCGTCCCCACTTCTCTCTCACATTGAGCACCTTGCCCACCGCTTCCCTTATTAGGACCCCTGTGATGACACTGGACTCACCCAGGTAATCCGGGAGAATCTCCACCTCCAGCTCCTTACCCTAATTACAGCTGTGAAGACCCTGTTGCCTTGTAAGGTTGCATATTTACAGTTTTGGCGATCAGAATGTGGACATCTTTGGAGACTGTCTTAGTGCACTTACTTTGCTATTAAGGAATACGTGAAGGCAGGTAACTCATAAAGAAAAGAGGTTTATTGGGCTCCCGGTTCCGAAGGCTGTACAAGAAGCATGGTATCAGCATCCACTTCTGGGGAGGCTACAGGCGGCTTCCACTCTGGCGGAAGGGGAAGGGGAGCTGGTGTGAGCAGAGATGGCACAATGACTGAGTGGGGCAGGACTTACCACAATTCTCCCCCTAACCAATGGAAAAGCGAGAGAGTGGCAGTGAGCAGTGGCAGCGGGTGGAGGTGGTCCTATGCTCTTTTCAACAACTAGTGCTCATGGGAGCGAACAGAGCAAAACTCGCTCCAGAAGAAGGCCATTGCCCCCACCACCCAAAGACCGCCCACCAGGCCTACCTCCAACGCCGGGGATCGGATTTCAACACGAGCCTTGGAGGGGACAAACTAGCCATGTCCAAACCACAGCCAGGACCAGACTCCTCCAGGCGCGTGCAGTTTGTGGGGCCGTATTTTCAGAACTGCAGAGTGGCTTCATCGGCTCCGGCGGCCATGAAAGAATGCCATGGGCTGTGTGGCTTAAACCACAGACATGCATTTTTTATGGTTCTGGAGGCTGGAATTCCAGATCAGGGTGCCGGCAAGGCGGGGTTCTGGCGGGGACCCTGTTCCTGGTTTGCACATGGCTGGCTCCCCACTGTGTGCTCCTGTGGCTGTTCCTGGGTCTGTGCTTAAAGTGACAGCAAGACCTCCACCACCAAGGCCGGCAGTCAGATCGGATTAGGGCCCCACCCTTATGAGCTCGCTGAACTTTACCTCCAAATCTTCCAGTCTTCACGCAGAGTCACACTGGGGTTAGGGCTTTAATATAGAAATTTGAGGTGACACAGTGTCCTGAGCATAGAACACCTGTGGCTGCTGGCTCCCACACCCTCTCCTTCTTTTCCCCTGAGAACCACATTTCTCAGGCCCCCCTTCCTCCCCGTGGTTTCCCTATGTGCTCAGCCACGTGTTGGCCCCAGTGGGAGGTTGGAGGGAGAGAAGGGGGAGATGCCCAAGTATGTCCCCCTCTTTCAGTCAGCAGGGGGTGAGCCTCCTCTGTGGCCCCAACTCCCCACAGGCAGCCTCAGCTTTGGGGGCTCAGACAACACAGCTTTCTCCCTCCTCCCATTGTCCTGCTAGCCTAGGGGCGGTGGGGGCTCTCTGCTGTTACCCTCTCTCTGTTGCCCTTACCATCCTGGGGCTTGGCTTTCCGGTGCTCCTGGCATGCACGTCTGTCCACTGGGCTCCATTGTTCTGTCTGGGTCTTGACTAAGACTTCCCTTCACCGTCAGGGCCTCGAGCCCTTCACAGGTCCCTCAAGTGTCGGGGCAGGGGCTTCAGGTGTTGGTCCTCTTCTTCCTGGCATCCTCTTCCCCTCCTTGGCAACGTCAGTAGCTGCAGAACACCCGCGTCTGCTCCTGCGGCCATCCTGGCTCTGCTCCGAGGGCCCAGGGGTCCAGCAAGCCACTGAGCCTGCAGCCAAACCTGGGTCCCTCTTGACTGTCTTTTGGGTTATTCTGTGCTTTCTAAATGGTTTGACAAGTAGTGTCACTGTTGTTACCCTCCACCTCCCAAAAAACAATAAAATATTTAATTTTTTAAAAAAAATCAGGGCTTTCCTTTAGCACAGTGTCATCCAATATAACTTGTTTTTTTAAATTACTTTTTGAGACAGGGTCACCCAGGCTGGAACACTATCACGACTCACTGCATCCCTGACCTCCTGGGCTCCAGCGATCCTCCTGCCTCAGCGTCCCGAGTAGCTGGGACTACAGGCATGTGTCACCATGCCTGGCTAATTTTCTCTTTTTTCTGTAGAGATGGGGTCTCACTTTGTTGCCTGGGCTGGTCTCAAACTCCTGGCCTCAAGCAATCCTCCTGCCTCAGCCTCCCAAAATGGTGGGATTATAGGTGTGACCCACCGTGTCCAGCTCTGATAGAACTTTCTGTGCTCATGACACTGTTCTTTCTGTCTATATTGTCCAGGACAGTAGCCACTAGGCACAGGTGGCTGTGGAGCGCTTGAAGCATGGCTAATGTGATGGAGGAATTGAATTTTAAATTTTATTTCATTTCAATGCATTTAAATTTAAATAGCCACAAGTACTGGCTACCGCAGCTTTAGACTCTGGTAAGATTCCCGGAGCCCTTGTAGCGGGTTTCTATGTCCTAGACTGTTTCTATGTCCTAGAATTTCTCTCCAGCAATTTCACACCTGTATAAAAATGTCTTTTATATTTCCCCCTACCCCCAAATCATCATTCAACAAGTTATCATTGTGTCCAGCCTTGCGTGAGGGGCACAAGGTGAGCCGGAGGGAAGAGGTGGAGGGCACAGAATAGATGTCTGGAGGTCTCAGGGTGGGGGACCAAGGGTCCCTGGGCTGGCGTGCTGGGCTGTGATGCATGTGGTGACTTCAGGGCAGACTGGCTTCGTGGGCAGTAGGAAACTCACACCCACTCCCTCACTCCTTCCTGTCTTCCTCCCCTAACTCGTAATAGAGCAGATTTAATTCAAGGTCTTTTACGAATCCTTGAATGACGCAGTCAGGAAAATGTACAAAGGTCAACATGGAGTTTTAATGTTCCACACAAATAAATCTGTCGGCACAGCCTGCACAGGGGCAGGATTAGAGCCAGCCCTTCAGGCAGGTGCAGAGATTCTGGGAGATGCTTTGCTGGGAGAGGAACCCTTGCTCTCCTCTGCTGACATCGCCAAATCTCAGGCCCAGGCAGTGCCAGTACGTAGTGACCTCAGCATGGGCATCTGCTTCCTGGAAAGCACAGTGTTGGAAAAACTTCCTAGATGCCCAGGCCTCTCCCTCACGCATTTATGACAAACTAACCATCTGACAATTCCTTATAGAGCTGGGTCCCTGAGTCTTAAATTCTGACCAAGCTGCGAGTGGGGAGAAGGCTCTGGAGAGACTGGATGGAGTCTCAGTGACAGGCTGGAAGCAGGCAGAGTGCTTAAGCATTCTCACATTTCATTCTCCAAACCTCCTGCTCCTCCAACAGAGACACTTTGCCCTCTTAAAAGAAAAGAAAGTTAGGCCGGGCGCGGTGGCTCAAGCCTGTAATCCCAGCACTTTGGGAGGCCGAGGCGGGTGGATCATGAGGTCAAGAGATCGAGACCATCCTGGTCAACATGGTGAAACCCCGTCTCTACTAAAAATACAAAAAATTAGCTGGGCATGGTGGTGCATGCCTGTAATCCCAGCTACTCAGGAGGCTGAGGCAGGAGAATTGCCTGAATCCAGGAGGTGGAGGTTGCGGTGAGCCGAGATCGTGAGCCATTGCACTCCAGCCTGGGTAACATGAGTGAAACTCCATCTCAAAAAAAAAAAAAAAAAAAAAAAAGAAAAGAAAAGAAAGTTGAGGTGCAGAGAAGTAAAGCAACTTGCCCAAGGCGTCACCACAAATGAGCAGAGGGGCTGGAGTTCTAGAGGATTCTGGAAGATTCTAGAATATTCTGGAAGAGGATTCTGGAATATGAGTTTGTTCTATTCACTATACTCAGCACACATCCTCGCAGGAAACAAATACCAGCTCCACAGGAGTGGCTAAAAGAGAGGCTCAAGGGCACAGAAAGGAGAGAAGGTAGGGTAGTGTGGGGGAAGAGCTCTGAATGATTGATTGCATGGTTTACGTAACCACAGATTAACCGCAAGCAAGCATTTCAGCCCCAGCAGTAAGGCTGGTCAGGGTCTGAATTTCAGCCCCTGCAGTAATGCTGGTCAGGTTCTGAATTGCACCCCTGTGCTATGAAGGGCTTTTCTCACACTGGTTATTTTAAATTTACAGCTTTCCAGGGATGAAGTTACTACTGTTACCATCATTGACTACAAATGAAGAGATAGGCTGAGAGGTTAAATGATTTGCCCAAGGTCACGTGGCTGGGGAGAGGTAGCACAGGGCCTTGAACCCGGGAGTCCAAAGCTAATGCCCTTCACCAGCACACAACTGCCTTTCCTAGGTGGCCAGAGCAGAAGGAAATCCAGCCAGGCCAGCGCAGCCCCTTCTTGCTCCACAGAACCACAGCCCTGCCATGTCCCAAGGCATTTGGCCTGTCCTGGCAGTGATGGGACCTTCCAAAATATAGCCCTCTCAGAGACCATCAGAACTTAGTCCAAATGGGGCCTGGAGGAATTCTCCTGATGTTAGAGCACCTCATGCACCCCACACCCTCCGTCATCACTCTGGGGCCTCATTGCTGACCCTGGAAGACTGAGCACCGCCTAGGATGAAACTCCCCTCTGGATGGATGGCCTCTGGATTGGTGACGGAATGGATTCCAGCGCCTCTGAGGAAGGCAGGAAGCCTGGGGACTTGGCAGTCTCCCAAGGAGATGGGGTGTGTGCTAGGGGAGGCCCCCATTCCCGGGAGCAAGGCCTGGTCCATCCTGAGACCCAGAGCCCACTTATACTCCATGCTTGTCCTTGCTAAGGTGGTGTGTGGTCCCCTTGCTAAGAGAAAGAGCAGGTATTAAGGGTTTAAGAAAAAACAAAATCCAAAACAGCTTTTGAGGTTCTGTCGACGCGGGCCAACTCTCAGCACAGCCACTCACTCAATAGCTAACCTTGAGCATGTCACTTCACTTCTCTAACCTTTTCTCTTCATTCGTAACACTGAGAAAACTGGTACCTTTCTCGTGCCTTAGTTTTGAGAACTAGATGGGTACGAGCATGCCTGTCAGCTCAACGCTGGGTACAGGGTGAGTGTGCTAAGCAAGGTGGTTTCCATGGCTATAGAGATGCATGCTAACTCCTGCCTGGTTGGTCCCAGGTGGTCAGAGGTGATGGCATCCAGGGGGGTCCCACCTCCACTGTCTTAATCCGGGGCCTTTCTGTGGCATGGTGCTGAGCAAAGGTACTAAAAGACCACAAAGAGGTACAGCAGGTGGTGAGTTGAGGGCTTGCTCCCCCCCACCCCCCACCATCCTGGTGATTTTTCCTGAAAAGTTGCCCCATGCATTGTTTTGCTGTCTGGCTTAGGTAAACTTGCCTCTTGTCTTATAGTTGCTTCCCCAACTTTAAACTAAAGGCTGTGCTTGACAGCATGGGTTGCTTCCCCAGCGGCCAATCCCTCTGGTTCCCTTCCTGCTTCCAGGCAAACAACCCCAGTCATAGGGGCTTGTGATGTTCCCAGTCCCAGGGAATGATGGGCCTCAGACAGCCATGGCAACTCTTTCCTGCTTTAACAAATACAGCTGATACCTGAACAGCACAGGTCTGAACTGGGTGGGCCCACTTATAGGTGGAGTTCCTCTCTCCTCCATCACCTCTGGGACAGCAAGATCAACCCCTCCTCTTCGTTCTCCTCCCCAGCCTACTCACTGCGAGTGGATGAAGACCTTTAGGATGACCCACTTCCACTTCATCAGTAGTAAATATATTTTCTAATAGTAACATTTCATAGTAATTTTCCAGTAGTGACATTTCACTAGTAAACAGTAAACCAATAGTAAATACATTTTCTCTTGTGAGTCTTTTACAACAGTTTCCTTTCTCTAGCTTATTTTATTGTAAGAGTGCAGGGTTGAAAGCATATAACGTGCAAACACATGTTGATCAACCGTTTATGTTACAGGTATGGCTTCTGGCCAACAGTAAGCTATTATAAGTTAAGTTTTGGGGAAGTCAAACGTTATATGCAACTATTCGACTGCGTACGGAGTTGGCACCCCTCACCCCTCATTGTTCAGGGCCAGCTGTACTTGGTTTCCAAGCCTCCCTTATAAGTTGGTATGGCCATGGGACCCAGTTTCAGATGTGAGAAGAGAGGAAGGTTTGCACCTGAGAAGGATTTCTTTCTGGATGAAAGATGGTTTTTTCAGGAGCGAATCTTTGGTCCCCGCCCTGTCCCTCCTGCTGGAGATGCTGCATACAAGGGCATGATGTCTGGAGTTCGAGCATGCATGTGGCCACCATGAGGCAAGAAGCAATGACGACACAATTTCACTGGGTGGAAGAATGACAAAGTCTGGATTCTTGATGATACTGTTGCCGTCTGAAGTTGCCTTGGGACCGTATATTTCTGGGCATCTGGTTACGTGAGCAGTACATATTCTTCTGGTTAAGACCAATGTTTATCAGTTTTCTGTTGTTTGTAATCAAAACTGTTCCTCACAGAGGCTCCCGAAGAATGTGTCCAGGAGAATTAGAGCAGAGAGAGAACACTGAAGCCTTGCTGAGCGAGGGGCTCTGAGGTAGTTGCTGGGGGAGAGAGGCTAGAAGAGGAGGCAAAAAGAATTTTTCAGAAGGGCCCCAGGGTGGGGCGTTGTGATTTGGATCCCTTTAATCTCCTTTGAAAATGCAAGCAGAAACTGGAAGTATATTTCATTTCCTGTTGATTCTTTAGCCGTGTTTCTTTGAGGAGCAGAGGCTGAGTCTTATGGAGCATAGAAGTTATCTGAGCTGCACTTGCAATCACAATTTGCGTTCTGAAAATTATCAGAGATTAAAAAGGAGATGGAATCAAAAGAGGCTGATATGATATCTATGTGCCTTGAGTCTGGGCTTCTCATTTGGCATAACCTAGAAAGGATCAAACAAGTTCACTGCCAAAGGGACTGGGGAAAAGGGCTGATGTCAAAGTGTAAGATTCAAACATGTCGGAAACATAATTCTCATCTAAGCACACGGTGAATATATGCCAAGATTGTTTTATTGGTTAATGAAGGAACCAGCAGAATGACAAAACAGACTCAAAAGGGGATGGGAAGAACTGAGGAAATATTCAAGACAAAGCCGGTTTGTCTCCTGTGTCCTTTAGGGCCAAAAAAATGTGTAAACTCAGGTTACCTCTTCTACTGGATGTTAATCATTTGCATCACTGCTTGATACACCGTCATTTCCTTCTTACCAACCCACAAGTTTGCCTTGAACTTTACAGAGCTTGGGCTCTGATCAATAGTAATGGTTAGAAAACAAAGTTACATCAGAAAGTCAGATAACTTTTATTCAGGCTTGTTAGACAACATTCTAGTATGATTCTGGAAGCTCTTCACATGATAATTTTTCCCCTTATTTCCAAGCTTGAATTACTTCTCTGAACACCACAAGGGAAAATACATAGGTAGTGCTCTATATCTTATCAAGCTTTAAGGCCTGACATTTTACTTTTCATGCTCATACGCACACATGCATGTGCACTCAGGCACACATACACACACACACACACACACACACACACACACACACACACACACACAATGCATACATGCGTCTGGTGGAAAATCCTTCTTTGGATTAGAGGTTAACTCTATTAAAAGCCAGGCCCCTCTTTATCTGGGTGCCATGTTGCCCAGCTGATCCCACTAGTCAAATTTGTTGCTTCAACCAAAAGTCAATAAAAAGGCATTTGGACATTTACTTGTGTCTCTCAAAGAACACCAGGGGATGCAGTGCCTAACCAACAACCTCACTTATCAAAACCACGTCCACCTTCGGCACGCTCTCCCGGAGCTCAGACTTGCAGCCTGTGGAGTTTTCTTCTTCCTCTTGGTCTCCCCTCTACCATGTCTTTGTTATTTTATTTTATTTTATTTTGTTTATTTATTGTTTTTGAGTCAGAGTTCTGCTCTGTCACCCAGGCTGGAGTGAAGTGGCGCAGTCTCGGCTCACTGTAAACTCCACCTCCCAGGTTCAAATGATTCTCCTGCCTCAGCCTCCTGAGTAGCTGGGACTACAGGCGTGTGCCACCATGCCTGACTAATTTTTGTATTTTTAGTGGAGACAAGATTTCACTATGTTGGCCAGGATGATCTCGATCTCCTGACTCATGATACACCCACCTCAGCCTCCCAAAGTGCTGGGATTACAGGCGTGAGCCACCGCGCCTGGACATCTTTGTTATTTTTATACAGATAAACTTGGCTTCTCTGGTCGAGTCCTTCCCTCTTCCCTCCTGCCTTTCTAATCCGATTTCTGCATTACAAAATTCTAGGAAGTGATTGGCAAGGAGTAGTCGTTGCCCGGGGCACCAGATCAGGAGCTGTATTTGGAAGGGGCGCTATCACCCATTAGTAAATCGGACTTAACAGCCTGTGTGGAATACCACGCCCTAGAGGCCTTCAGGTGGAAAGAGACCAGCTGCATACTCTCTTTTTTCTCTCTCTCTCTTTTGCGCACACATTTATTATGCAGTTGATGCAGCTATGTCTGTGACCTCTCACCTGTACAGCCTCTTCCGAGGCCTTAGGAAGTGCTCTAACAATTTTGTGTTCATAATTTTGTATTCATTTATTCAGTGAAGGCTTCCAAATTGTATCACTTTTGGGGCCAAGCACAGTGGCTCACGCCTGTAATCCCAGCACTTTGGGCAGCCAAGGTGGGTGGATCACCTGAGGTCAGGAGTTCAAGACCAGCCTGGCCAACATGGTGAAACCCCATCTCTACTAAAAATACAAAAAAAAAAAAAAAATAGCCAGGCGTGGTGGTGGGTGCCTATAATCTCAGCTACTTGGGAGGCTGAGGGAGGAGAATCGCTTGAATCCAGGAGTCAGAGGTTGTAGTGAGCCGAGACCACGCCATTGCACTCCAGCCTGGGCAACAAGAGTGAAACACCATCTCAAAAAAAAAAGTTGTATAACCTTTGAGCTCCCCAGATCGTGCATCCCCCCAACTCCTTCCCTAATTGTAGCGTTAAAAGAGCGTACATGATAAGAAGTATCCGGGGTGTCCTCTCTGGCCAGAATGTCACCCCGGCTTGATTGGCATGCCTTCTGTGGCTCACCCTGCTTGAGTGAGTGTGACCTTCACCTTCAGTCTCTGTCTACCAGGTCATGTCCTCATCATTGTTGGGGACCCAGGCATAATCCAGTGGTTTCCAGGCTCTTGGAGAATCTTCCTTTTCCAACTGGCACCTGAGAGTTGAGGGAAGCTGGCCCATGGCCCCGGGGAGGGCAGGGGGCTGAGGCAGAACCTAAATGACATGACGTCTTCATTACTTGGGGCCTGCCCTTTGGCCTCCACTCCTAGTCCCACCACCCACAACAAGCTGTGGGATCGGAGCTAACTGGCTCTGTCACTGGCCTGAATCTCCCCAGTCTTCCAAGCCTCTGGACCTTTGTTGCCCACTGAATCGGGAAACGGGGCTTATCTTTAAAGAGCAGACAGGGAAGTTCTCATTTTTTGTTAAAGCCATCCAGTCTGCATAGAAAAGTAATCTGCTGACAGCTGCGAGAATTGCTGTTTTAAATACATTTGCATAGAGCCTCAGCTGCCCAGTGGGGCTGGGTTTCTTTCCCCACCTCCTGTCTTGGAACAAGGCTGGTGCCCTGCAAGTAGTCAGGGCAGCCTCCTTTACTCCGGTGGGAAAGGTCGGGGAGCCAGACTCTGGGTGCATGGAAGGGACAGCCAGCCAGCCACCCCAACTTTGCCAGTGTGTCCTGGCCTGCCATTGTCCATGTTCTCCTGGCATGAACACCAGGACCCCAGGGCCGATACAGGCACCTGTGGATACTTGATGTCAACTGGATGGAATCTTGGGAGCCTGGGGAAAACCAGGACTTCCTTTTTAAGCCCCTCCCCTCATCCATTGCTTATCCAAGGACTGTCTATGTCTTCATTCATTCACTTATTCATTCATTCCTTATTTCTACAAGCCACCTTTGAACACTGCCACTTCAGGTGCTATTATGGATGGAGATGGTGCAGTGAACAGAGGGACCAGGTTCCCACCCTGCAGGAGCTTGCCTTCTGGTGTGGAGGAAGCAGAAGAGGTGGCAGACAAGGACATGCGCAGAGAGAGGGCCATCTCAGAGAGGCCTGAGTGCCACAGGGCCGGGCTGGGGGCTAGACCTCGGCTGCTGGGCTCAGGGAGGAGCGAGGATCAAAGTCAGAATGGGCCTCACTGATGAAGGACACATGCAGTTGAGATGTGAAGGGGCCTCTGCCCATCAAGGGACCATGAGTGCTGTCATCTACAAACAAGAGGCCCAGCTCGCCCTCTAGGACAGCGGTTCTCACTCAGCACATCTGGAGACATTTCAGTTGTCATCACTTGGCGGGGAGGGTGCTACTGGCATTGCCGTGCAGCAGGCAACCCCCAACAACAGAAATTACTAGGATTAGATGTCCACAGTGCCGAGGTTGGAAACCCCACTCCAGTGGAAAGATGAATGTACCAGAATGTTCCAGAAACACAGATGCAATTCCTATCACGTGGAGACTGCCTGGCTTTGTGACCAGCGTAAACCACTTGCCTGCCAAGGGCCTGCACCCTTCCTCCACCTATGAAACAGGCTCTCTTGGGGAGTGTTTCCAGGGCAAACAAGGTACGGCGCTCTTACAGGAAAGAGGCTTCATAAATAAAGCCTCAGTCTTATTTCACTGCCTAAAAAATCCAGGGAGAAAAAAAAATCACCTTAGGCCTGAGGCTGAAAGAACGGCCTCATTTCTTTCCGGAAATAATCTTCTCTTAAACCCCAGCCAGGCGGCTGGGCTCTGAGCATCCTGCCCTTCAAGGTCAAATTGGTTTGAACGTGACTGCGTCCCTTCTTCAAGGGGTTGGCTCCTGGAGCACCAGGCCTTTTCCCGAGGCCCTCAGAACAATGAGGGTGATTCAGGGAATACCTGGTCTGGTAACCTTCTTAGAAGAGAATGGGTTTTCTGCTCTCAAAAGGTTCTGAAAAGGCTCCTGTCGGGCAGCTCTTCCTAATTTATTTGGCAGTTTTCCCCTGTCTTGCTGGGTTATTATCTGAAGGAAGTTCTTGAAAGCCCAAGACAATAGCGAGTCTTCCAGCCAACCCTCACGTTTGCTAACCCAGTGCTCAAGGGCTGTCGGCCTCTGCGAGGTGCAGCTCACGCCTGGGGAGAATGCAACTTTTATGCAACATAAGGAAATTATTAGAGCTCAAAGACTGCACAACTATTTTGTCCCATCTGGAACGCCTTATTGATATTTGTGCATGTATAAATTATGCACCGGACAAGACTCTCAATGGTGGCCCCAAGGATGGATGGGGGAAGAGAAGTAAGCCATGCGCTCATTTTGTCTCAGTTCTTTGTTCCCTTGAGTGGTTGAGTGGACTTCCACCTGGGCAGCGCCACCAGCATTCATGGCACCCCTTTGGGGCAGGAA